ACCTATACGTTGTAACATTTCAAAATTTCCCAGATATAATGTATGGCACATCTCCTTATCCTACAGTACAGCTTTCCTGAGCCAAATATTCATATACTCAACTGCTTATTCAACATCTCCATTTGAATATCTAATGGGCATGTAAAGTGAACATATCTAAAACAAAACTAATCTTCCTCCAATCTATTCCAGTTACATCCTTTGCCAGTTGATTAAGTGGCAATGCCATTTACCCACTGAAGTGCAACCAACCCATACCGGGTAGGTTCATTACCAGTTCTAGCAGTTGTTGATGTCTTCATGCTCTCCGCTGTTCTACCTGCTCTCCATCGCACTCCACAGCACTCCTCCACAGTCTCCCGCACACCTACATCCTCTCCACTGTGCTCCTCCATCCTCAGCACCGCGCCACAACACGCCACGCCATTTGGCCGAGTGTGCATGCGCGGTGGGAGGGCAGAAAAGCCTGAAGCTTTCCCCCCTACTTACCCCACAATCCACTTCCTCAGGGTTTTCCACCATACAATCTATATACAAATATATACAAGTTTCCTTTAACAAACAAGCACTGCAGCCATGGCCCACAAAAGCAAACAGTATACATCACAATATAACTAAGTTCAATTCTCCTATGGGCAGAAAGATAAACAAGTTATTGGTACAAGCAATGGGAGATTCCCTCCCATCTGGCAATATACACGCCAATTTTGTGTCCGAAGATAATACTGTAGCTGGCATCAGTGGCCTTCCAGGTCGCGAGTACCACACTCACTTTGCCAGCAAAGACACGTCAGAGGGCTCTACATGTAGCAAAAGTGGAGCGCTCATAATAGGCCACAAAGTCATCACGAATGTCCCCTTTAGGATTGCCTTCTGATCTGCCACCCCAGGGTGGGTAACACGCACCCAAGGTGTTATTTGTAAATTGGCCTCCAGGCCACAACCCCAAGTGTAGGCTATCAGGGCCACCCAGTGCATGTGGAGAGCCTTCACAGTCCAGGGCCATTCCCAGGCCACAGTCTGCGCCGGGTAGGCAATAAGATGTTGCCCTGCTGTCCAAATCCAGGCTTTAACAAAATGTCCAAAGTTTGTGTCTGCAATTGAATGGGAGCAGCCGCAAGATGCAGCAACGCCTCCACGGAAGCCAGGCCGCCTTTCCTGCCCCTCGCATTTAGTATTCGTAGCAGGTCCCACATAGGGTGCTAGAACTGCCATGAGGGATCCAAATGAGGATGAGGGAACACTCTTTAATACCAAGTCTCTCATCCCTGCTGTGAAACGCTCGTTGTCAGGACCACCAAGTATTCACACTGAACATGGCCTGCCGCATACCCAATTCCCAAAGTACCTGTATGAGCTCAGCAAACGTCTGCCATCTGCTCACTGTCTCCTGCACATCTCCTGCATCAGCCCATACTGTTCATATGGCAGCCATGATCCATTCCAGCAGGGTATGATGGCCCTGGCCATCCGCCGGCTGTTCTGCAGCCTCTTGTCTCAAGGATGGGTGTAAAGTCACTGAGGCCTGTCTCTCCATCTCTTGTGCCAAGCACAAATGATCCCATCCACCCCCAGGTCCCACAAACCTAGCAGCCAAGCTGCCAAGGGTTCCCCCGGTTTCTGGTGGAACTGTTTGCCCAAGTCCACCAGCTCCACCTGGGTGTATGGTCGGTATGCAGTAAATTTTGTCATTTGTGGTGGCCCAGCAGCCTCACCCCCTGGGGCCATGGGCTGCTGTCGCTTCATTTTCTGAGTCACCACCAGATGGGCCCAGAGCATGGGACCAGCCTCCTCCTCCTCTCCAGAGCTGTCCGGCATCTCCAGAGTCACAAGTTGGTTTGCCACTACTGGCTGAGACTCAGGCAAAGGGCCAGCCTCCCACTCCTCTCCTGAGGAGTCTGGCGTCTTCCGAATGGTGGGTCGGTTTCTCCAAACTTCCTCCAGAATCCTCAAACATTGTTGCAATTTCCACATCTCTTGCCGCATCTCATCCCACAGGTGCTGGATTCTGGATCGCTTTTTCTGCCTAGACTCTCGCAGAGCTGTGAGAAACACCCATCCCACAGCCCTACCACCTCGCCGGCAATGTATCCACCCAGGGTCTCTTCTATTTTGTATAGGGCCTGTTCCAACTGCCCCGGGGATCCATCCACCTCTGGCCACTCCTGGGGAGGTGCCCACTGGGAGAAGAGGCTGGCCACTGAGTACCACCTGCTCCTGGCCGGCCACCTGGCAATCCCTCCCCAGGTTTCAGAGGGTTCCATACCCGTCTGCACCGAGCTGTCCTGCTTTGAACCATCCTGCCGTCTACACCAAATGCAGCGCAATCAACTCATACCCGGTAGGTTCATTACCGGTTCTAGCAGCCGTGTTGGTGCCCTCATGCTCTCCACTGTTGGTACCCGCACTCCGCCCGCCCGTCCAGTCTCCGGCGCACCTCCCTTGTCTCCACTGCGCTCAGGCCTCTGCGCTCAGGCCTCTGCGCCACGCCATGCAGGTTAGCCAAGTGCACATGCGCAGTGGGAGGGCAGAAAAGCCTGAAGCTTTTCCCTCCTACTTACCCCACACCCATCTACTCAAGCCAAAATGTTTGGTATTATCTTTTACTCCCTACCCCCCCTCACAAGTCAGGTCCACTCAATCTGCAAATCCCATTAGTTCTATCTTCCAAAATACATAAAATCTGGTGGCCTCCTCTACCACTCACTGCCTTGGTCTAAAACAACATCATCTCTCATCGCAAAGAGCCTCGTATAATGTTCTCTAAAGAGTATTCAGAAAATTAATTACAAAAGACTTTCAAACCCCCATAAATCTGGCTACTATCCTATATACCTACTAGTCCCTCTTGCTCATTCCATTTCAGTCATAATGGCCCACTTGCTACTCCTCAAACACACTCACATCTCATGGTCTTTGCATTTTCTATTCCTTCTATGTAGAATGCTCTTTCCTCCGCAGATCACATTGTTTCATCCCTTTCAAGTAACATCTTATTAAATCAACCATTTAGGACCACTACCATAAAAGGGTAAACATCCTGTTCCATCACTCATTACCTCCCTAGTCCACTTTTTTCCTCTCCACAGGGTTTACCATCCTTTGTTTCATTTAATATGTGATTCTTCCCGACTAAAGCGTCAATTTCAAGAAGGAAGAGACATTGTTTTATGTATTGCTGTGTCTCAATCCCCCAGAAGCATGCCTGACAATCTCAATAAACATTTACTAAATAAACAAATGACACAATAGACCTAAAACAGGGAATAAGATGCTATAAAAATGCTACCGAAAACAAGAACTAGCAAAACTTAAAAAGAAAATATTCCACTAGATGATTAGAAAATAAATCAAGTAAATCTCCCAAGGAGCAGTAAGAACAAAAAGATAGACAACAGAAAAGCAAAGAAAGAAAAAACACGAATCCAGTTGCTCTGACAACTGAATAATAAGCCTAAGAAATAAAGAAAAAAGCTGGGTGAGGAAATTAGGAAAAAATAATACCAAAGATTTCCTCAAAACGAAGAATGTGAAGCTCCTAACCAAAATGGTCATCAAATGCCCTGCACACTGAATAAAAAAGATTATACAAAGAAATACTGTTTCTCTTTGATGTTATGAAACGTCAGTGTGAAATCTACAGCATAAATAAGGTGGTGGCTTCACAAATAACAAAGAAAAAAGACACCAAGTTATTTGTATCCCTGGAATACAGCTGTGCCACAGGCCAGGAGAAAGAAAATCTCAGAAGGATGTGATAATTTCTTGAAGACAGACCCTATAATTTGTGAAATTGATTTCCTCCAAGGTTTATAAATGTACACTACCACCAGGAAGGTATAGGAATTTTTAACACCATCCTCATCAATGCTCAGTGCTATCATTTTCATTAATCTTAGTATTATGAGCATTACAGTCGTTCTTACACTGTAATGAAGTTAATTTTCATGTATTTGTTGTCCATCTGAAATTCTTTTTTCATATCTTCTTTGATATCCTTGATTGTTTTCACAAAGATTTTCTCCTTTTTATTACCAAAGAAGGGATTTAGGTACAGAGATAGATATGGAGATAATGATATATTTGCATTTTGATGTATTTTCTCTTTTGATAATTTGCAGGTGCTTTGCTTGTGTGACTTTAATTTTTTTTTTTTTTAGTCAAAGCTATAAATCTACTTTTTCTGATTTTACTCCTCTGCTTTTATGATTAGTAGTCACACTGTACTCAGGGAACAGAAAAATATTAATCTACATTTTCTTTTTAGTTTATCACCATGTTTAATATTTCACTCTTTTTAATCTAAATGGAACTTATTTTAGAATATAAAATAAGAATATAATTTTGTTTTCTCCCAAACAGCTAACCAATTGTCTCAACACAATTCACTAAATCCTTCTTGTCTTTACTGACTGAAAATGATATCTTAATATAGTAAATTACATAAATTTTATATATACATACATACATACATACACACACACACACACACTTTACAAGCCTACCACAGCCTTTCTTTACAAGAATTTATTTTGGGGATTTTAATTTTAGTAGAAAATATAGAGAGATTTATTTGAAGAAAATTACCACTTTCAATCAAAAGTGAATAACTGCCCTCAAACTTTCAAAATATTCCATGATAATTAACTGCTCAAATTGGACAGATTTTTAAAATTGGGGGTAAAATTATTTACACGAGAAAATGTTCAAAGAAACCAAATATTAAATATAAATATATGCCACCCAAAAGATACTTTTAAATTTTATTATAGAGTGAAACTTTCTCTGACCTTAACTTACTAACTGGATTTGATTGATTGATTGATTGATTGATTTTATTTTAAAAGAGTAGGTTTATTAGGGGAAAATAAGAGAAAGGAGAACACAGCACCTGCATAGACACAGGCAGGCAGTTTGGAATAAGAGTTGCCTGGATTTTATATACACATACACACACACACACACACACACACACTCTATAAAAGAATGAGAAAGTATACCTCAAATTCTTTTCTAAGACGTTCCTCTCGTTGCGTACTTAATTCAAGTTCACTTGTTTGTCGCCGTAAAAGGTCAGAGCAGTCCATGTGTTCTCCTTCTAATTTTTCTACTTTCTTGTGCATACTTTGTACAGCACTATCTTGTTCCTGGAAAATAATTCACTTTGGCATCAATAAAGTCTAGACATCAACAATGACTGAAATTGTTCTATAGAAGATAGTAACTAAACATGTGCTTCAACCAAAATAATTGGTTAATTAATATAGACAAGAGAGACACAGATATTTTCCAGCAACATTTCAGTATATATATGTGTGTGAGTGTTCAAAAAGTAGTACTGGAATTTCACAATTTAAAAAATCTGGTTTATACATATTACAATTGAATATTTATAAAGCACACTATACCATTAAGATAGTTCAAGTGACTACATAATGCTGTAGTTCATATGCCATACATAACATCTTCCCCCTCATTAAAATTTTTAAGTATTTAGTAATACAAATATATATATGGCTTCTTTGTGTGATAATTATTAGCTTCAATGCTTAATAATTAATTGCGAGGTTTTTATGTGAGTTCATGGTACTTTATGCTTATAGCTCTTAAAGTTGCATCCACTAGATGGCTGTGTCTCATTTCTTCAGTTTTCAAATCTTTGCTGTACTGTTGAAAGAAAAATGTCAGGAACTCGTCTTAACTCTCTCAATCTCCTTACCCAGCTAAACTTGTAAATCTGAGTTGAATTTAATGGAAACATAAATTTAATGGAAACATCAAGTTAGCACACCTAAATCAAAGGTTTTTTCCACAGTAACTAAACCAGATTCACCATTCTCACTAAGGTCTTCACCAGGACAGTATACATACTTCCAGGTATCCCTAGACACTCACAAGTATCACAAGAATCTGGGTGAGAATGTAGCAAGCACCAAATATAATTTTCTATAAAAGATCCTAATTTTGGAAAGTACCCAGTAGTAGAGTCATGGTCAAAACATAAGGAAAAATGTTAATGTAATTTCTTCTTTCTACATCTCCTCATTCACAAGATAATATTCTATAGCTGGCTATACATGAGCTCAAGAATTATTTTCTTTGGGTAATGGAATGCACAGAAGTCATCTACTTTCACATTTTCAATCATTTTCAGGGGAGAATAATTTTTTTATTGAGGTAACACTGGTTTCACAACATTGTATGTAAATCAGAGACACAGGATCACATCTCATGTTTTCTCTAAACCATCTCAGGCAAGAACAAAGCTGGATACCAGAGAAAAGTGTGCCTATGACCAGCATATAGCACTTGCAGCTTTTAAAATGACACCGTGGATATAGGAACAAATTATATTACAAACAGCTTTATATAATCTAATTTCATACATGAAAACACTCTTAAGACCATTAAGCATTATACAAGCATAAGATACTATTATTCTACATGATAGTACCCTTCCTTCAAGCAGTCAAAAGTGCTAGTATTAATTCAAATTCAGTGTTAAATTATATGCCTTCTTGACTTATGAATACATAAACTCCATCTTTCAATCATACACTTAGAATACTATGTATGCTTTAAAATAAACAAACAGCAATTTACAAAGTTAGTTTCAAAAAACCCAATTTGAAATAAAAGCAAATTAAAATCTACAACCAAAAGATGGTTGTAGTTGGTAGCAAATTATTTCACATATGTATTAAATAAAGTAAAAGAAATCACTCAGGAAGTTTCATGAAATTTGTAAGAAAATCTGACATGTTTCCCATTCTATTTATTATTGATAAATAGTACAGAAAGAAAACATACAATCATTTGAGACACTATTACACAAAAGAAGGTGCCAATCATCCCACGCTAAATTTAATTTAATTGTATAAAAAAGAACAAATGGAAAATGAGTGGCTAATCAGTTAGGATTTGTTATGTTTATTTTGGTGAGCTTTTTAGCTTTATAACGCTCAACCTATACTGAATATTATTTACCAAATAGCTTTCATTAAATGAAAGTCTTTCAAGATGTACGTGAAATGCTGACCTAACAATCACAGTTTCAATGCAGAGGTGAAGCACTCACTAATATTATGTGATAATTACTATACATTCTTGGATATGGATGCAAGCAGGCACATGTGCACAGGTACACACATATAATTTTTATAGAAAAAACTAGTTTTCTCAAATATTGGAAATTTTTATTCTATTCACATACCCAAGAAACTTATATTACATAATTAAGTGATTATAACTCATTAAAAATGATTTTCTTATGTTACACTCACTTAGCATTTATTGCATAAAGACTTTACATTTTATCTTTTTTATATTTGGCTGCATTAAACTGACTAGTATTTTATATAATTTTGGACCTACATTCATGAGTACAATTGACTATAATTATCTTTTCTTGTATTCTTGTGAGTTTAGTATCAAAATTTGTCAGTTTGGTATATTATTGAGATTTTTCCATTCTCTGGCAGAATTTATATGAAACTAAAATTTATTGTTTTCTACTTGAATGTTTCTTTTTATTGCTTGGTGAAGCAATACAAGATCTGAAATTTTAAGATCTGAAATTTTAAAGATCTGAAATTTTGACACTGACGTAATCAAGTTTTGGAGGAGAGGGGAGGTTATTTATATAAATATATATAAGGATATAAACACATATGTAATATATACAGTATGCATATATAAATATGTAAATATCTATAAATGTGCACATATAAATACATTTAACATGTGTTAATTAAATTTTCTTCTTACACCTATGCTCTAGTGCCAGGACCAGCTGAGGACATGCATTCTATAGCACAGAAATCTTTTTTTTTAATTTATTTTTTACACCGTTGTTCATTTTTAAACAATATTTGCTTCCGCCCCCCCAGGTGTAGGTCCCCATAGAATTTCCTTCGCCAATGCAACCCTGCACCATCACCACTGTCCCCTGTATAGCACAGAATTCTTATTCCCATTTGACCTACTCCAGTGAGCTGGTGGCTGGTCACCCTGCACTTCTATTTAGGACCATCATTTCTACCAAGTACAGTTTTCCTACTATCAAATTTTATAGATCTAAATTTTGTTTGTTTCTATGGACAGTGTGTTTCAATAAGGTACAAATGACATTAAATGTTATGATAAAGTTAAGGACATCTGTCAATTTTTAGCAAACAATAAATTTAATACTACTTAGATTTGATCGCTACCAGTTTTTTAATGTTTTTATTAGTTTTACCAGTGGATTTTTTTCTATTTAAATATTTTCCCTTTTCAAATGAATAACTATAAGAAAGTGAAAATCAAAATTAACAAAAAACTATGAACCAGAGACACTCTATGGGGGATGGGGGGCGGGGAAAGGAGGGATTGGGGTCAAAATAAGGGGGTTGCAATTGTATGGGGAATATAAAAATAAAATTTACTTTAAAAAATAAAATAAAATAAACAGAGTAAGAAATATAGATCTAAAAGCAGTGGGACTAATCCCGCCTTTCACATGGAAAAAAAAAATTAAAAAAAAATATTTTCCCTTTTCAAAGATTTTTACTCAATAAATTTACTTGATACAATTTTTTCCAGTTTTAATTTGTGCCTATAATTGCAGTCCATGCACAGAGATGATATAGTACAATTGAATTTGTGTAAAAAATAAAAACACATGAAAATATATACATATTATCATATATAGGCTATATAGCTATAAATGACAAATATGCAGATAGATATAGACATAGCTACAGATACAAGTTTATCTATGAGAAAACTGTGAACAAATGTCCACAGATACTCTAGGTCAATACCATTTACCAATCTTAAAACTTCTTTTAATTCCTAACCAATTCATTGACTCAATGGCACATCTTTCCGAAGAATGCACTGCCTATGTTCTTGACCCCTTAGATCAAAAATGTATAGTCTAAAAGTCATTATACTTCAAAATCTTCATTGTGACAATGTATAATTTCAACTAAATTGCTTCTTCTAGGGAAAATGATGAGTAATATTTCATGTATGAGCCACACTTAGGAATTGGAGGTTCTAAAGTAGTTGCTACAGTAATATGAGTAGTTTCCACAGTAATATGAGAGTCTTAAATGTGTGTCTTCAAATCACTTTAAAATCAATTTCAGGGCCTCCCTGGTGGTGCAAGAGATTAAGGCACAACCTATGAAGCAGTCTGCAGCTTTTGCAACACGAGTTCGATACCTGGACGGCCAGGGAGCTACCCACATGGCGCAGCAGACCTCTCCTTACTCACCCACTGCTCCCCTCAGCAGTGTACTTTGGTCAATCTGCCTGTTCTGTTCCCCACTCTGTCTCTGGTGAATCCTCTACCTCCTACACCTCTGGCCTGTACCCCAGCTCTTGTATGCATAAATAAATAAATCTTTAAAAAAATAAAATAAAATGAGTTTCAATTATTTTTCTATTTGAAGGGGTCAAACCTTTCTTGGTCTCAAAATGATGAAGTCAGGGCCTCCCTGGTGGCGCAGCGGTTGAGCGCTGGGTTGCGAAGCTGCTCGCAGCCTCTGCAGCGCCGGTTCGATCCCCGGCTGCTCCCCGGCCACTGGAGGAGGGTCCTGCATGGCGCGCAGACCTCTCCTGCCGCCCGCTGCTCCCCTCAGCAGTGTACTTCAGTCCTTCTGCCTGCTCTGCTCCCCGCTCTGGCTCTGGTCAATTCTCTCACCCTCCCATGCTTCTGACTGTACCCAGTGCTTGCATAAATAAATAAATAAATCTTAAAAAAAAAAAAGATGAAGTCAAAATATCCTATTTTTATAGACTGATCCAGTCTCTATGTAAAACCATATGGAGGTTTCTCAAAACATTAAAAATAGGTCTCCCATATGATCCAGGAATTGCATTCTTAAGTATCTACCTGAAGAATGCAAAAATACTAATTCAAAGATATCTGCACTCTTATGCTCACTGCATCACTATTTACAGTAGCCAAGTTATAAAACAGTCTAAGTGCCCAGCAACAGATGAGTGCATTAAGAAGATGTGGTATTTACACATAATGGACTACTTTTAGCTACTAACAAAAAAAAGATTAACTTACCATTTGCCACAACATGGATGGAACTGGAGATTATGCTAAGCAAAATAAGTCAAGAGAAAGACAAATACGGGATCATGTCAC